TCAAAATGTGTATATTTGATCTAAACATATAATGTGTACATAAGTACACTCTTTTCAATATATTTGATATGTATGAGATGAGGCCATAGGCCAATGACATCTAATTTGTATTCTATGCATTTTCACTTTCAATGTTTATTATGAAAAAAATAGAAAAATGACAAGTCATTGCCTCACCATGTTTGCGTCGGGTGTACGAATTCCATTTTTATTCTTCCATAGGGTCTCATTAATCATGTATGAAGTGTGGCCAAGGGCCAAGCGGTAATTTGAAACCATTTTATAATTTTAAGTTTCAAATTTCCCTTTTTATGTGCATTTTCGCCTTTTTTGGCCGTCGGGGGGTCGGATTTTGTATCGGGTCTTCTCGGGAGCCGCAGACCATTCCTACGCACTTGAAATCATTTATTGTGCTTACTTGCATATTCGTTTCAGCCTAGAAATGCATTTAGGGTGAAATGCATACTTGGTGCAAAGTTGCATTTTTTTTAGAGTTTTTGCCCTTTTCTGATCTAGGGGCATTCTGGATATTTCACAGTGTTTTTTTCGTTTTCTTCCTCGGAGCTCGGTAGGAAACATGATTTTAGGGGGGGTTTCTTCTTTGTGTTTTTACAAAAACAAAAAAAATAAAAAATAAAAAATCATTTTGACGCAGAAAACAACTCGCAGATCTGGAAAATTTGGTGCGCGAACTAAGGGGTATTTCGGGTATTTTACTTGAAAAATAAAAACTTTTCTTGAAGTGGTCATGTAGAAAACATAATTTTTTTTTTTTGGGGGGGGGGGGGGGGGGGGGAGTTTCTTCATAACTTTTTTTCAAAAAAATGTCGTTTAAACCCTCAAAACTTTATTTGAATTCCAAAAATCTGTGCAGGCCCTGCATATACTTGAAACCCGAAAAGTCTAATTTTATGAAACTTTGGAGTTTCATATCTTCTTCTTCCGGATTCCAAATCAAGTGATTCTTGAGTCTAGATTTATTAATTTTTCCTTATTTATCTAATGGTATGCTTAGTTGCATCCAGTTTTGTTTGGAAATACCATTTTACCCCTGGTCAAGTTCCATCCCATTTTATAATCTTAGCTTCCGCATTTTATTCTTTTGAGTTTCGTGACTTCATGGAAGGTCACCATGGCGTCTTAGGGATGTCGTATATCCCTAGAGACATTATTTCTGTTTTCGCTTCCACATTCCGGATCCATTTCGGGTCATCTTACGGGTCATCGCAGGACACACTGACTTGAAAAACCAGGGTCGTCACATGTATTCATGGTGGGTACAACTGCAGTTAGTTGGCTTTCGCAAATACAGAGGATTGTAGCGCTATCTACTACAGAGGCAGAGTATGTGGCGATAAGAGAGGCCGGTAAGGAGATGATTTGGTTACAAGATTTGTTGACAGAGTTGGGATTTAAACAGGTGAAGAATGTTTTGCACAGAGATAGTCAGTGTGCAATTCATCTGCAAAGAATTCAGCATTTCATTCAAGGACCAAGCATATAGGACTTCGGTATCACTTCATCAGATCTTTGTTAGAAGATGGGGTGTTGACACTTGAGAAAATATTTGGCATCAAGAATTCGGCTGACATGTTGACCAAGACAGTGACCATAAAGAGAAACTGAAGTTGTGCACAACTTTAGTCGGTCTTCTTGCTTAAGGATAGAGAAGAGCATACCGACATTCATGGGACATGCATGAGAAGAAGATGGAATGGGTTTACAAGTGCTCCAGTCTCCAAGTGGGAGATTGTTGTGTTTTTTGTGGAGATAATGATTTCAATATTTTTTTGGCTATTGGCGAGTTGGAACCGATTCAGAGATTTGGTACTGGTTCCACTGAGTGATAGCCAAATCAAGGAAACATTGAGATCAACCACTGTCTAGTGGGAACCGGTAGCCACTTTTCTATACTGGTTCAAGAGTGGCAGAACGTTGTAGAAGTTTTTGGGCAACAAGTTGAACCGATTGGGACAAGTTGGGTTCCATTGTATGGAGCTATAAATATCAACCCTAATCAGTTTTTAGGGGATGTGAGAGTTATAAAGAAATCACACGTGTTGTATGATTAATTTGTGCCAATACAAGAAAGAGCAACAGAGAGATTGAGAGAAAATTCTCCATTGTAATTATACTCTTCTTCATCTTCATAGTGAATTTGTTCGATGTGTTCCATGGAGATTTGGGTGAACCATGTATATCTTGTATTCTTGTGTGTGATTTTTCTTTGTGATTGCTTGTGATTATTCCTCGAATAGTGTTGTTATTTGCGTTTCCGCCATAATAACTAATATCAAATCTGGTTGATTGTGCAGAGCAACTCCAACACTTTCATCCTTATAATGATTCATGTGTTAGTTTTGTAATTGACATTGCTTTTATGCAACATCAAAGTTTTTAATTTCTTCTATTTTTTTTTTTTTCATTGGACTTTCTTTTTCTAAATTATCTATAATGATATACAATAGATTTGGATTTATTTGGTTTTCGCTTTTATCATCTAAAGGTGCATGTTAAATAATCAATGATATCATTGCAACTTTTAATAATTTTCCTTGTTCTATTGAGGGATGTTTAGCAATTTTTTGTTTCTATCTATGATTTTTTTTCGCATTGTTGACGGCTTCTATTAATACTTGTTCTTATATTATGTTTATAATTTGTATATGGCTATATCTATTGGAACAATTGTAGTATTTGGTAAAATGTGTCTTATATCTTAATTTGTGTTTTTTTTAGGGCAAGTAAATGGCTCCATAAACAGTATGTCTTCTTCCCTTGAAACGTGAATATTTTCTTTTTTCTTTTTTCTTCTTTTCCTTTATCTATTGGTCTCACCTTGTATCAATCGGATGGTTGTAGATGAAAAATTACTAAATTTAGTATTCATGCTCTCTGGCTAGTGCACTCTTTAGTAATTTGTGTATCATTATAGATTTTAAAATCTATTTTAGCCTTTTTAGGCTTGTCATTTGTCTTTTTGCTTCCACTATGGTTTACACATTCATAGGGCTTGTCATTAGATATTGCTTTCATAAAAATTATAAGAATTAAATTTTTTATAAGGTAAAAGATAATTAAATAATAAACTAAAATAAAAGGGAAGGTTAAAACTAAAGAATTAATTAATGAAAGCTATCGATATCATTGGGAAAAAAAGAAAAAGTAAATTACTAAATTCCATGTGAATATCATTTCTCTAAACACTAAAAGTATTTCATCCGAAGGTTTTTTCAAAGTTTTATTATTTATTATAAAGGTCTCATTTATAAGTTTTCTAGCTAATTGTCCATCATTTTCATGTGATCTGTATGTAATTTGAAATATAGTAAGGCTTCATTTATTTTGAGGTAAAATATTTTTTTAAAAAAATATTTTTCTTTTTTAGGTAAAATATTCATTTATTTTTATTTTGTCGGTATTTGACTAAAGTTTATGTCAAGGTTAAAGTTGAGTCTATCGGGTGAGACATATAAAATAACTTGTTGAAAATTTATGAATAAATTATTTTTATTAAATTTTAATATATATATTTTTATAAATATTTTACGACAATCAAATATCATAAAATAAAAATTTATTTTTTAAAAAATATTTTACGTCCAAACAATACCAAAACTTTCAAAATTCATTCAGTCATGGCTGACCTTTAATACTGTTGACCCTACCCTCAAGCTTGTCCATTCTCTGATTAATATTTGCTTCCAAACGCCTAATCACTTTGACGAAATCACTATCAAGCTCATTGGTTCCGGTGGACTTGTATGCCGCAGTCGATGTTTGCACTTGCACTTGATCAATAGGAGCTTGTTGGGTTTGAGCTTGAGCATGATCACTAATGACAAATCCCAGTACGTTTTATTTTTATCACGTCAAAATTTAGTGAATATGTTACAAATAAGCATGATTACTTAAAAACCTAAAAACACTTTGGTGAATGAATGTAACCTAAATAATAAACGCATGCAACTAACTTTACTGATGATATATATACATGGAAAAAAAAAAATTCAAAATGACATGATGATTTCAATTTGCATACCAACTAGAAGCATCAATGTTAAATTAAACACAAAGGGCCAAAAATATGGAAAAATAAAGATAAGTTGATTCAAGTTTCAAGAGAAATATTTTGAGAAAAAAATATTTTGTTAGTTTAGAATAAGCCTTTCACTTTTATAAAATTTACTACGAATACTATCTGACTCCGCAAAAGAATGTCTCCAGCGAGTATATATATATTTTTTACATTTCCTTTTTTTTTTTTTTTTTTGTTGTTGTTTTAAGTTTACACTTAAACTTTCTAATTGATTTAATTACACTCGAAATTAATAAAATAGAATTATAAATTTTTAAAAAATTATAAAGTAAATTTTTTAAATTAAAATATTATTTAAATAATAAACTAAAACAAAAAGGACAGATAAAATTAAAGAGTTAACTAATAAGATCTACTAATATGTCTGGGAAAAAAAATAATTCTACCAATATCAAATAAAATTGCTTGATACAAGTTCTAATTTAACTAAAAACTTATAAATGAGGCTATCTGTAATAATAATAAAAAATTATGAATGAATAACTTTTAATATTTAGAGAAAAAAATTCGCTCGGACAATTTGGGAAGGGGCTTGAATTGGTAAAAAAAAAGAATCTACTTCAATCAACATGCCCTTAGGCACAACCAAACCATACATTTATATATTTTGTATCTATTGGCTTGAAAATGTTAATGCTAATATATTTGAAAATTGTTATATTGGAGTATATAACGTGTTGATTAATATTTTAGAATTAGTTTGACTGGTAGTAATTGTGTGAATGGATTGGAAAAGGGCGGATGTCGGGATGGGTTTGAGCCCACTCCAAAAAAAATATATATTTTTAACTATACTAATTTTAGTTTAGCCCAAAAAAATTATTATTAATAAAATTAATTCACTCAATCAGGTCCAAGTCAACTCAGTCACCGGACTAAAATAAAGGCCCAAGACAAATAACCCCATGGCCGGCCCTGACCCAAGGCCACAAAGGTAGTCATTTCGTTTTTAGGGCAAATCATTCCAGCCTCCCCCATCGCCTCCATCTCTATTCTGGTTCTCGACTCTGAATTTGCCCTCTCTCTCTATCACTGCAAACTACGAAATCTACAAGAATCAGAGGTTCAAAACCCATATATTTGAGTTTGTCTATCTGTCTACAAGAATCAAAAGTTCAAAACCCATATCGGCATATCATTTCAGATTGTTCAAAAAATCAAAACCCATACCTTTCAGTTTCCATCGCCCGCTGTTCCAGTTCGGGTTCGCCGTTCGCAAGCTTCATCCGCTGTCTCTCAACTCTCAAGCTTGCCCCCCTCTCTCTCTGCAACTGCTAACTTGTATGTATTGGTTTTGTTTTTATTTTTTTTTTCTAAATCAACTAATCAAGCTCTGTAATTCTTGTTTTGCAAACTAAAATTAGGTGTAATCTTGATTTTGTAAAGGTAAATTTGGCATCATAAATACATCAAGCCTCTCCTTCCCTTTCCTTTCCATTTCCTCCCAAAAATTACTGTTTATGCCTTGTGTTATCCTTCCCAAATTATCCCTTTCCTTCCAACCATTTATGATAAACACAAATTTGTAATCACCCTCCGTCACCTTTCCTTTCCATTCCTCCCTTTTCCATTGCACCAAACTGATCCTAACCCTAGCTGCGCGTAGATAGGTAACGTGCTCTTCCACGCGGGCGAAGACGAGTCTCCATCTCTCCCTCTCCCTCTCCCTCTCCCTCTCCCTCTGGCTCTCTATCTACGCCATATTTCCCGCGATCTCGCACCTCTCCATTTGGATGGCTGAACGAGAAGTGAATTCTGATGGTGGAGGTTAGTGGCGATTTATTGTTCTAGGTTTGAATTTATGATTATATATAATATGAATGTTCATGCATATACACACGAAATATCTTGTTCTATATATGTGTGTGTGTGTGTGTGTGTGTGAATGTACACATTTCACACACAAAATCTTTTCCTCTGACGTTGTTTACCTAATCGAGCGGAGCTCTGACATTCATGGGGAAGCTGGAGCCGAGCTCGGACATTTTTGTGAACCAACCCCTGCTACATGGCCAGTCAAGACTGACCGTTTGTCTTTGACTAGTAGGTGCGAAGTGTGTTACTGTCAATCAAGTGTAACACCAACCAGTCACGAGTGCATTCACTTGAGATTAAAGCAATTTACTATTTACTAGTCTCTCTTTAAATTTGACAACGCCCCTTTTCTATCTGTTGTATTTGTTCTTCTTTGCCCTTTTCATTAATGTTCTCGTTTGTGCTATCTAGCTTTCAAATATTTAATTCTTTGATCTTTATAATTTAGGTGCTACCAAATTTCCCAATTACAAGGGAAAAAAAAAAAAAAAATTCCCAACCACAAAAAGGTAGAAGTTGATTGGATTGGGCGGTGTTGGGAAAAAAAAAAAAAACAGGTACGATGCATTTTACATTTTTTGTTTGTTCTTGTCACATCTTAATAATTGTTTTTTTTTTTTTTCCAATGTTTTGGAAAAATTTTATTGTATAACTAAATTTGCCCCATCGCTGGCTTTATTGTTGTTTTTCATTGAATTATAGATCAATAATTGTACCATTCTAGAAAGTTATTCCAAATTCTTCTTACCGAATTTCTTGAAGGCTTTTTAGTGTTTTTTTTTTTGTCCTGTGAGATGCTCGAATTGCAAGCTACATTATCTGTTTAATTAACCAAATGTTAGAACACGATATTCATGATTATAAGCTTTTAGTCAATTATTATTATCTTTTCTTTGACATGAAAATTATTTCTTGCCTCCTTTATTAACACTAGGCCATTAGATCATGACCAAATTTGACTTATTTATTTATTTGTGCATACTTGTTAATCATTTCATTAACCACAAACCATATCTTACCTAAACTGTTCAATGGAAATTTTATAAATAAATTAATGAGCAGTGAGTTGTAAATCATAACTTCACAAATTTACTTCGTGCAAGCAAGATCTTTTATACACACACACACGTATTTTTATAGAAGGCCCCTTTGAAAATTCTGTATGCTTTTGACCTTCTTAATATTGATAGGGTTTCTTCACTTACCAAACCAATCAAATCTTATTCAACATTTCAAAATGATAGGTTTTTTAGTCACATAGTGACCATGTTTTATGTATGTGGCTTCGGGATAGTGCAGCTTTGGCCATTGACACCAAATCTCATTCAGCATTTCAAAATGATAGGTTTTTGAAGGTCTTATATATATATATATATATATATATGTTTGTAACTTTATACTTAGATATATTTTGATTTAGCCCACCCGATTGAGAAATCCTGGATCCGCCCTTGTTCGATGTTCAGGGAACAATAACAAGGACGAAGAAGGTTTGAAATTAACTGAAAATTCCAAGGGTAAAGATGACCCATCTCTAGCTTCAGTAGACCCCTCCCCAGTCCCCAGTCCCCAGTCCCAGTTGCAGAATTCATCCATTTTCTAGTTGTAGAAGTCGTCCCTTCTCCACCATCTGAAACTTCTACTAAAACTGAAGGAGAGAAAAACTCCTTAGATTCCAAGTCTGAAGGTGATAGAACCAAGTCAGACTAAAAGGCTAATTATGAAGATTTCCGGAAGGACAGAGGTATTAATTCTCTCCCCTGGTTTCACACATCAAGTTTCACCAAAGGGTTTTGGCAAAGCATTGAGGTTTTATTTTTTTTTCAATAAGTAATATGAATTTTTTTCTTGTTTTAATGTTCCACAGAAGATATGATGCTCAAGCTTACGGTCTGGTGCTGGTAGTGGGACTTGGTTCATTGGGTTTACAAATTGGAGTGTGGATGACATCTTATAATAGTGAAAAGGATCAGAATGCGAAAATGAATCTTCTGATGAAGGAGTCCCTTGAAAAACATGACACAATGATTGACATCTACAAGGAAATTGAGGTTTCTATTGTTAATCTATACTTTAGTGGAAATGTATGCTTAAATGAGTATTTGTTACTAACAGGCCTATGACCTAGCGGTATCAAGCCCCTACTTCCTAAAGGGAGGTCAGAGGTTCGAATCTCAGTGGAGGTATGTGTGTGTGAGTATATGTTAATTTTGATTCTTCTTTTCTTTTAAGCAATAGGAAGGAGGTCGTTGTTCCGTAGAATTTTTGGCTTAAGATATTGTTTGCTATCTCTATTTATTTATGATTGTTCAAAAATCTGGGCATTGACAGCTTATGTGAAACTAATGGTATGTATTTCTTTTGGCCTGAAATATATCTTGAACCATTTTATAAACCTTCTATTTATTTGTACCTTAAAGATTGTTTGCAAATATAGTGTAAAGGTTGTTTGTGTGAGACTGGCATGTCTTTCATTTGGCTTGAAAATTTATATTGATTATGGATATGAATGTTAGCAGCTTAATGTTAATGGCTTATGTGAGATTGATGCAAGCTTAATGGTAATTTTGCTTAATATTCATTCTTGATGTTATCGGGCAGTAGCAGTTTTTGGGGTGGTATTGAAAGGCTTCTTTTGGCCCTAAAAAACATTTATTTTCAGTGATGCGGATGGGGAAAAGAAGATAAGAGGGTAACAATGCTTAAAATGAACTTTACTTAAAAAATAAAAATGAAATAGGAAAAAATTCATATTGGGAATTTCCCACGAAAATTGGTGTGTGAGTTATTATGGAAAGCATAGGGTACACGTCTGCAAGATCCTATTCTACTAATACTGAAGTTGTGAAATTGATATTACACCTTGAAATAGCCATAAACCATGATTAACTCATTTTTTCACCTTGAAAATCTTTATCCTCCTGCCCTACCGAATTTAGTTCGATTGAATTTCCTATATCCTCTATGTTTTTATAAGATAGATGAGGGTTCGGAATCTCATTGTATGGGCGAGGGATTCAAGTTCTGATGCGGGATCTTATTGTGTGCTCGTGTTATGTCCCTCCCCCCCTCTCTTTCTGGCTGCTGTGTAAGAGGTAACCACAATTTCTGTTTAGGTTGCTGTTGTGGTAATTTTCTAATTGGTGTTAAATATATCTTAATACTGATTCTTGAAGTGTTTGGGCAGTAGCAGTTTTTCGGGTGGTACTGAAAGGCTTCTTTTGACCCCAAAAAGCATTTCTTTTAGTGATGTTGTGGGAAAAAGAAGATAAGATAGGAATAGTGCTTAAAATGTAACCTTGAAGACCTTTATCCTCCTACTCTACCGAATTTAGTTCGATTGAATTTCCCATATCCTGTGTCTTTGTAATATGGATAAGGGTTCAGAATGGGGATTCATGTTCCGATAGGGGATCTTTGGCCTTAGGTTATCGGCTAGAATAAAGGTGTCGGTCGGTATGGGGCTCTTGTTTCCACTCAAGCGAAGAACCAGCGCTCGTCTTTACATTTTGGTGTCTAATTTTTAAAAGATTGTGCACCTTAATTTTTAGATTTTACACCAATTTACTTGAATAGCAAGACAGTTTCATCTTGTTGTACACTTCTCATTATAACTCTTTTAGATGTTCTATTTTAGTTTTATTTCAATCAATTTCTCTTGGATTATATTTATATTTCTTTGGATTAATGAAAGTTTACAGAAATATATATATAATTATCTATATGCTTTTCCATCCATTGATATGGTTGATGTAAATTCTTTAATTTCGCTTTCCTTGTAATTCTTCATTTCTGTTTTCCTGTGTCTGGATGTGTGATATACAGTTTGAATCCAATCTTATATATTAATTAATATTTGTGCCATTTACAATGACCAAACTGATGTGATCATGTGATTGTTGCCAGAATTGGTTTCCATTATGTACAGAGATATTAATTAATCTCTTTATGGGTTTTTTTTTAGCACCTCTTTATGTTGAATTATTAATAGAAAGAGCACTCTTTACTCTTTACTCTCTCAGATAGCCTGCAAATGAAACTTCTCTGCAATTAGACATGTATCACGGATGCGACATGCTAAAATTTTAAAAAGTAAGACGGATGCGGTTTGGACACGGTTATATATAAATATGAGTTTTTATTTATATACATATGTTGAATAATAGTATTATAAAAATTAATTAATTTCTAATTTTTGTGTTTTTTTTTTTTTTTTTCCTAGACAAATAACCCTCATAATATTTTAGTTTTTCCTTTTGCTTTAAAATAATAATAATAATAATAATAATAATAATAATAATACAAGGATGTAGAAAATTTTCAAAGTGATATAAAAAGGAATATCAGAGGACTTTCTATCAACACTCTTATCCAACATTTAAATTATCAATTCTACCATGCTTCGGTTTTGAAGAAAGAGGTGTGTTTTTGGGTTCTTACAGGGGAGGGAGACACTCGCTATTCCCTCCTTATTGTCTTTAGAAAGATAGAGATTTGTGGTTGAGAATGGAGAGGCTTTGTTCCTTTTAATAGGTGAAATTTAGGATTATAACCATGATTCTTATTATTGTCAAACTTTGGTAGTAGCTCTGGTTATATAATTTTATCTTATTGATATTATTTTGGACACGTATTATTTATTGGAGTCGTCCAAAAATAAATTCAAATATTGTATTGTGATATTTTTGTGATATACTCTTTCTCTTATACATATATATATATATGTATATGTACTCTTTCTCTTATACATATATATAGAAAGATCGAAATGACATTAATAATCTTAAAAAAAAACCTGAGATGCACACTCCACTTATGATGTTTTACAAAAATGAGTATAATCGATTTGAAAATGTCACCATCAAACAAATTAATTGAGGCTATTGATGGATAAGGTCAAATTGATTATACCCATTTTTGTAAAACCAAAAATCAAAAGAAACTTTAAGAACCCAAATTTCTTAACAAGTTAGACATATATAAATATTACCCTTAACTTCTCTTATTCATAAATATACTTTAAAACTTCTTTTAATTTGAAAAGTTTGTGTTGATTATTATGTTAATTTTTTTTAATTTGAAAAGTTTTGGTTGATTATTCATAAGTTAAGAAAATTTCTTGTTTATATATAATGTCATTCCTTGAATTTGAGTGTGAGTCCATTGACCTAAAGACGATAATGCATTATTTAAACAAATATATTAAAAAAAAAAGTGATACGAAGGTCGCCTAGTGAAATTATATGCTCCTCGATGTGGATCAACAAAATTATTATAAACATTTTCAAATTATGTAAACAAAAGTTTATTCTAAGAGCTAACTGTACTTTTGAATTATACGAAGGGAATAAGGAGAAGTGGTCATCTCTGATAGCCTATATAGATAGGGAGGATGAATAAGTGGACACACACATACTAAAATAAAGGCCCAATCTGAATGAGTCCAGGGCCTCTGACCTAAGGTTACAAAGACGGTCGCCAAGGGCCTCAAAATTTATAGGCCCATGGAAGATGGGTCAACAAAGAACAAAGTATTTTTAGGGCAAATCATTTCAGCCTCCCCAATCGCCTCCGTCTCTATTCTCGTTCTCAACTCTGAACTTCCCCCCCTCCCTCCCTCTCTATCTCTCTCTATCTCTGCAACTGCAAACTACAAAATCTACAAGAATCAGAAGTTCAAAACCGATATATTTCAGTTTATCTATCTGCAAGAATCAAAAGTTCAAAACCTATTACCGGCATATCATTTGAGATTGTTCAAAAAATCAAAACCCATATCTTTCAGTTTCCATCTCCCGCTGTTCCAGTTCGGGTTCGCCGTTCGCAAGCTTCAGCGGCTGTCTCTCAACTCTCAAGCTTGCCCCCCTCTCTCTCTGCAACTGCTAACTTGTATGTATGGGTTTTCTCTCTCTGTAACTGCTAACTTGTATGTATGGGTTTTGTTTTAATTTTTTTTTTTTTTTCTAAATCAACTAATCAAGCTCTGTAATTCTTGTTTTGCAAACTTTGACAAGCAAAAGTACTTAATATAGGGTAAAGCTCTAAAGTTACTTCTTGAAAATTAAAATACTTCTGAATTGTTCAGAAATAAATTGGTAATTTTTTTATTAATGATCCAAATAGGATTTTCTATGACTTATTCAGTCAGTTGTCTAAAGATACATTGTTAGTTAACTAAAATTGAATTAAACAACAGTTCAGTTTGGTTGATATATTTTGATTTAGCCCACCCCATTGAGAAATCGTGGATGTTTTGTTTCACATAGAAATATAATCTGTGTAATGCACAAAGAATATATTCAATATTTCTGCCATATTTTTTTTTTCAAATTTTGGTTTTTGATTTATTATTATTATTTTTTTTGTTATTAGAATGCAGAATATCATGATATTGATTTGTTAATTTTGAAGATTATTCCTAAACTAATGCATTGTACTTTATTATTGGACTAATTTAACATAAGAGCTGTGTATAATATGTGTTAATCACACCTATCCGTAATTACACCTCTTTCTATGGATAGGCGTCCAACATTTTGACTGGAAGCATAATTGGGTTGGGTTGGGTTGGGTTGATACATGATACAGATAGTACTTAGATGGCGATGTTTTAATCGTTATGAGTGCAAAAGTGAAACCTCTTCCTCACAACTTGATTGTTTTCTTATTTTTAGGTTTAGCATTGGGCCTTAACATTTAGCAAGAACAAGGTTCAAGAAACATGCCTCCTCAATCATCAGGTAACAAACTCTTAACTTTTTCTAAATTTTAATTGGCATTTTTAGCTATTGCTTATGTTTTATATACTGATTTTTTGTTTGTTTTTTTTTTTTTTTTCGGTTTCTACATACATATATATAATATTGTTATGATGTGATTTTCGAACAATTTATTAATGGAAGATTAGGAAGTTTAGTTTTCAATTTTAGAATATATGTTTTACAAGTTTATTAACGCTTTTAAAACTTTTCATCTTTTGTCCTATTAATATAGGTCTCTTTTCTGAAAGAAGAGAGTTGATGGAAATGGGTGGAGTAGGCAAAAAGGTATGATTTTTTTGCCTAGCTAATTGAATTATATAAATCCCCTTACTGTTGTAGCAATGATTTTGGTTTTAAAATGACTAATTATGATAGGAAGCCTGTTTTCAGTTTATCTTAATCAAATGTATATCTATGCAAAAGGATTAAATGATTCTAGATGACGATTCAGATGAGGATGTTAATGTCAACGTTATGAGGATGTTGATGTCAACGTTGACTCTAGTGATGGCGGCTAATGATGTTGATAATATGTTGATATACTCAAATTAAGTCGAAGCACTTAGAATTAAATGAAATTTAGAGTTGAAGACATATTATTGAGCATAGTGTCTAATTCTTTTAGTTACAAGAATCTTTGGTCACTTCACACACGATTTTTCAGTTCCTGAAATTCTGAAACAATAGTGTGTAATATGATTCATCTACTTGGGCGCCCTTCTTTTTCATCTCTCTAAACCCTAATTTTATCTGTGAAAAATAAAAAGAAGACTCTATGTAATTTTAATTTAACTTTATCAGTTTGAGCATTGACAGAGCTTTTGAAATGTTGAAATTGAAACAACAGAGAGTCCACTAATAAGAATTACGCAACTTAGGACAAAATAAGCTCTCTAAGCGTCTTGACTAATATTGGCATGGGAGACTTCTATAGAAATGGACTTGTAGAGAGAAAGATATATGGTTGAGGGCACAAAAGTGTACGATAGCGATCAGGTTGTGAGCTTTTGGCTTGTTTCATGCATCGGATCTAGGAAGTGTACAACAATGCAATGGAAAGCTCTAGTGCACTCAAAGTTACATACAGAGACAATAGTTAATATTATATATTTATAACGTACTTTACTAATCTAATATGATACTACATATATCATACATATATACATATATATATGTTTGTAACTTTATACTTAGACTTAGATATATTTTGATTTAGTCCACCCCATTGAGAAATCCTGGATCCGCCCTTGGTTCGATGTTCAGGCCTACCTTTCTTTTCTGTCAGCTCGGCTCGGGGAACTATAATAAGGACAAAGAAGGTTTGAAATTAACTGAAAATTCAAGGGTAAAGATGACCCATCTCCAGCTTCAGTAGACCTCTCCCCAGTCCCAGTTGCAGAAGTCGTCCATTTTCCAGTTGTAGAAGTCGTCCCTTCTCCACCATCTGAAACTTCTACTAACTGAAGGAGATAAAAACTCCTCAGATTCCTAGTCTGAAGGCGAAAGAACCAAGTCAGACTATAAGGCTAATTATGAAGATTTCCGAAAGGACAGGGGTATTAATTCTCTCCCCTGGTTTCACACATCAAGTTTCACCAAAGGGTTTTGGCAAAGCATTGAGTTTTTTTTTTTTTCATAAGTAATGTGAATTTTTTTCTTGTTTTAATGTTCCACAGAAGATATGATGCTCAAGCTTATAGTCTGATTGCTGGTAGTGGGACTTGGTTCATTGGGTTTACAAATTGGAGTGTGGATGACATCTTATAATAGTGAAAAGGATCAGAATGCAAAAATGAATCTTCTGATGAAGGAGTCCCTTCAAAAACAGGACACGATGATTGACATCTACAAAGAAATTGAGGTTTCTATTGTTAATCTATACTTTAGTGGAAATGTATGCTTAAATGAGTATATGTTACCAACAGGCATGTAACTTAGCGGTATCAGGTCCCTAGTCAGAGGTTCGAACCTCAGTGGAGGCATATGTGTGTGGGTACCAACTAGGGAAAAGAAAAAAGAAAAAAAAAAGTGTATATGTTATTTTTTATTCTTCTTTTCTTTTAAGCAATAGGAAGGAGGTCGTTGTTCCGTAGAATTTTTGGCTTAAGGTATTGTTTGCTATCTCTATTTATTTATGATTGTTCAAAAATCTGGGCGTTGACAGCTTATGTGAAACTAATGGTATGTATTTCTTTTGGCCTGAAATATATCTTGAACCATTTTATAAACATTCTATTGATTTCTACCTTAAAGATTGCTTGCAAATATAGTTTAAAGGTTGTTTGTGTGAGACTAGCATGTCTTTCATTTGGCTTGAAAATTTATATTGATTATGGATATGAATGTTAGCAGCTTAATGTTAATGGCTTATGTGAGATAGATGCAAGCTTAATGGTAATTTTGCTTAATATTGATTCTTGATGTTATTGGGCAGTAGCAGTTTTTGGGGTGGTATTGAAAGGCTTCTTTTGGCCCTAAAAACATTTATTCTCAGTGATGCCGAGGGGAAAAAGAAATAAAGAAGGGGAGCAATGCTTAAAATGAACTTTACTTAAAAAAAAATAAAAATAAAAAAGGAAAAAATTCATATTGGGAATTTCCCACTAAAACTGGTGTGTGAGTTATTATGGAAAGCATAGGGTACAAGTCTGCAAGATCTATTCTACTAATACTGAAGTTGTGAAATTGATATTACACCTTGAAATAGCCATAAACCATGATTAACTCATTTTTTCACCTTGAAAATCTTTATCCTCCTGCCCCCACCGAATTTAGTTCGATTGAATTTCCTATATCCTCAATGTCTTTATAATTTAGTTTGACTGAATTTCCTATATCCTTTATGTTTTTATAAGATAGATGAGGGTTCGGAATCTTATTGTATGGGCGAGGGATTCAAGTTCTGATGGGGGATCTTATTGTGTGCTCGTGTTATGTCCCTCCCCCCTCTTTGTAGCTGCTGTGTAAGAGGTAACTACAATTTCTGTTTAGTTGCTGTTGTGGTAATTTTCGAATTGGTGTTAAATACATGCTAGCTTAATATTGATTCTTGATGTGATTGGGGCAGTAGCAGTTTTTCGGGTGGTACTGAAAGGCTTCTTTTGACCCCAAAAAACATTTCTTTTATAGTGATGGTGAGGGAAAAAGAAGATAAGAAGATAATTTTATCTTATTGATATTATTTTGGACACGTATTATTTATTGGACCGCCCAAAAATAAATTCAAATATTGTATTATGATATTTTTATGACACACTTTCTCTTGTACATATGTGTCCGGAAGATCGAAATGACATTAATAATCTTAGAAAAACCTGAGACATGAACACTCCATTTATGATGTTTTACAAAAATGGGTATAATCAATTTGCAAATGTCACCGTCAAACAAATTAATTGAGGCTATTGATGGATACAAGGCCAAACTGATTACACCCATTTTTGTAAAACCAAAAATCAAAAGAAACTTTAAGAACCCAAATTTCTTAATAAGTTAGACATATATAAATATTACCCTTAACTTCTCTTATTCATAAATATACTTTAAAACTTCTTTTAATTTGAAAAGTTTGTGTTGATTATTCGTAGGTTAAGAAAATTTCGTGTATATATATATATATATATAATGTCATTCCTTGAATTTGAGTGACTCCATTGACCTAAAGATGAGAATGCATTATATATATATATATATATATATATATATATATATATAAGTGATACAAAGGTCTCCTGGTGAAATTATATGTTCCTCGATGTGGATCAACAAAATTATTATAAAACATTTTCAAAATTATGAACACAAAAGCTTATTCTAAGAGCTAGGTAGGGAGGATAAATAAATGGACACACACACACACACACACACATATTATGGAGAGCACTTGTGACTAAAATTGGATATATTCTGGAAACATTACAAACTTACATATATACATAGAGAGAGGAAACTGGATACATAGAGAACACTTGTGAAAAAAGAATAGAGAACACTTGTGACTGAAATGGATATATTCTGGAACCATTTACAAACTTACATGTAGAGAAAAAAGAATACTATATTAAGACCATTGCATGGGTCACAAACCTTCATTGAAGGATGTGCTTCTCTGGAACCTCAAAACTGGCACTCACTCATCTTCTCATTTTTTTTCCATGACCTCTCGTATATTGTCAAGAAACCATGAAATTAAATAAAAAATTATGAAAAAAGAAATATATTCATCATGACTCATGAGGCAGCTGTTGTTTCAGCCAACCACTTCCATACTCTCACTTTACCCGCTCCATCTCCGGTAAAAAACAAACCCCCAGGGCCTATCTGTATGGATCGGACCTCCTGTTTCGCGAATATCTTGCCTCTCTTGGAAAACCTGCATCAAGTAAAAGAAATCTTCATTTAGAATGATGTAGAATGAACCGCATGAAAGCATTTGAAGGGAAAAAGAAGAAATATCCGTGGAATTCCTACTAAGAAGATAAAATAATGATGACAAGTGTTGATGGCGTAAAAGCTTTTTGAAGGAAAAAGAAAAAGGAATACTGTAAAATAATGAATAAAAGTAAGAACTTACGATGGCAAATCATATACATGGACGGAGTTATTGTTGCAAGAGCATAGCAAGACCGGCTTGGCTTCTGAATCATGCGTCCCACAGAGAGTGAGCACGCCCTGTAGCAGGCAGGTGGAACCATTAAAATGCAGTTTTTTTATTTCTAAGAACAGATATAAAGAAAATTAAACTAAACACGAGAAACTGCAAAATATTGGTACAAGGTCTTGACAGAACATAGCAGTCGCAATATGTTGTTAGCAACCTCCATTCGTATGGGACAAAGGCAAGGATGTGATGACGACGACTATGTTAGCAACCAATTACATTTAAGGTGGTGGATTTCTGACTCAAAAGACTCTTCCCACCACGTGAAAACTCTACTCTGATACGTGATGAGTTATATTCAAAAATAGCGTCACAGCACAAATAGCAATGCCCCTGTCAATCCTACCCCATAAGAGTATTACCATTGAGTCTGCAAATGGTTCAAACAGAAACAGATGAAGTACCAACAACCTTTTCCTACCACTACAGGGTGGTATGAGCAACGCATATGACACGCCTACTTTCCCAAAGAACTGGGTTCCTTAATGCGACTTGGACCTAATTACTCAAACTCAAATGCTGGCATTTAAAGAGTAAGGTTCTTCCACTGGTCCACCTAGTAAGGTAATTTAGCGGGATTCAGACTGGTTAGTTGATACATCTATCAATCTGTAAAAAAATACAGAGACTTCCCCTTCAATTTTAATCAGGTCTCGAAGCTAAACAAAATGAGACTATACGCAAGAGCACATAGGCCCCATGCAATGATTATTTATTTCCCAGCACATTAGTAGGAAACCAGCTTCAAGATTGATAACTTTCACTTCCAAACCAAAAGCAGTCTCCACCAGCTATAATCACAAGAGATCATTAACCAGAACAAAGATCTAACTCTACATATCACCGATCCTTCTCTATCTTTTGAGAACAAAATAGCCAAACTTTAACATGTGTGCATCAAGTTAAACATAACCCCTTAATACAACAGCACAACAGCACCCGTAAACAATACAATGTTAAATAGACTCAACATTACTATTAAATTTTTTTTTAACATGCTTGCACCAGTGACTTTAGATGAATCATCCAAAATTGTGCAAGGGCCAAAAACAAATCATCAAGAAGTAGCCTACGATTTCCCAACCTCAGAGATGATCTCTGCTTTTGCTTGATTAATGCACCTAATGGGCCCTTGATAATCAATTCATGTAACAATATTTTAACTTACAAATATTAGTTTAAAAATAATTTTAACACCATTTGGAGTAGAATTTAGTATACCACAATATAAAGGATCTGGCATTTAGACCAGAAAACTGCTTGCGCAATGGAATTTCTAATATTTTTACAAACCTATAACACAATCTTGGCCCTGGCCCTTGCCCTTTCCTAAGCAACCCAAAATGTGTAAATACCTGATCAAAGCACACAACGCGAGTGTAAATAAAAGATGTGTCTGACATGCCTATTGCATATGTCCATCCTTTATAATATTATATCCTCTGTTACATGGACTCTTCAAAAGTAGTGAAGTACCCGTGTTGGACATGTATCCCTCAGACATGGGTATGGGATATGTGTCCGACACTTTTGATTGGACATGTACTTAAAAAGTATATTCAATCATTCAATTATATTATATTATTACTTTAAAATAAGTTAAATGCCTATATTGAACATTATATTAGATAAAAACATTAGTTTACTCTAGAAAATCAAATCAAATAATTAATAAAATGAATATTTAGCCGTGTCCGTGTGTCATTTTGCTTGGAGATTTGACACGTCTGACGCACTGATACATACCCGTATCCGACATCCGTACCCGAGTCTATGTAACATAGATTATTTAAGAAAATGATGGTGAAATTCCTTGTGCACTAAAGGCTCCCTCAGATACTATCACCCTGCTCTGCTGCAAAATGAATGAATTTCACGACAAAGATGCATATGTTATATAACATAACACTTCTTCCTTACTATACGGATGAAAATTTAACTACTTTGACAACAAAGCCGTTTCCCAATGTCCAAATGTTATAAAACCCCCTAAACTATACATGCTAAAAATTGGACATTGGGAAACGGCTAAGTTCTCGAAGTAGTTAAATTTTCATCTGTACAGAAAGGAAGAAATGTTATGTTATATGAGGAAAACAGCCTAAACAGGTCCTTGCTGCTGGTTTATCCGACGAAAAGAGAGTATCCAAGGAGAAGAGGTACTTGCTAGTATATGCCAGCACAAGGTTAGCTGAGGAGAATATGACATTGCAATGAGGAACCATTGGAGATTACTGGAGATAACTATCTGTAAAAAAGCTTTGTGAGCTGCTCATGGATCGTGAAAACCCTTCACTTTTTTACAACCCCAGAGCCAATTACAAGCTTTTGAAGAGGTTATTTAGTTAATGTTATTAGTCACCATAAACTGAATACAAACAAGTCACGAAATTGTCAAAAGATAGGGCAAGAGAGCTCAGGAGGACTAGAAAGTTGCCACACAAGCAAACAAGCTTACGAATACTAAATTACTATCAAGGGGCCCTTGAGGATACTCCCCTTATACTATACCTTCACCAATACCTAGGGTTGAAGCATATGTAAAAATTAGAAGTAGCTTGGTATTGCATAAGCTGCAACATCAGACGCAAGGTAAGGACAAATTTACCTTCTTGAATGCCACATGTAGT